ACTCTGCTGGCCTCAGTTGAAGGAAGAGATGAGCAGGCACCAATGCAAGAATTCCTCCAACATCTTGAAAAGCAACATGATAGCACCAGAATCCAGTGACATGCAGCAGGAAGACTTGAACATCCTAACCCAGAAGAACTAGAAGAAATCAACTTTAAATGTAACCTTATGAAAATGATGGAGACCCTTAAACAGGAAGTGAAAACACCCCTTAAAGAAATGGAAGAGAAGACAAACAAAAAGTTAGAAGAAATTAATAAATCCCTCAAAGATACCAAAGAAAACCAAGAAAAAGCAATCAAACAGGTAAAGGAAACAGTTCAAGACTTGAAGACCAAAATGGAGGTAATAAAGAAAATGCAAACTGAGGGATGGCTGGATATGGAAAATCTGGGTAAAAGAACAGAAACTACAGAGACAAGTATAACCAACAGAATACAAGAGAGAAGAAAGAATCTCAGGCACTGAAGAAACTATGGAGGAAATAGACACATTGATAAAAGGAAACAGCAAATCCAACAAATTCTTAACACAAAACATGCAGGAAATCTGGGACACCATGAAAAGATCAAACCTAAGAATAATAGGGGTAGAAGGAGAAGAATTCCAGCTCAAAGGCCCAGAAAATATATTCAACAAAATTATAGAAGAAAACTTTCCCAACCTAAAAAAGGATATCTCTATGAAGGTACAAGAAGCTTACAGAACACCAAATACACTGGAAAAAAAAAACCCTTGCCATATAATAATCAAAACACAAAACATACAGAATAAAGAAAGAATATTCAGAGCTGCAAAGGAAAAAGGTCAAGTAACATATAAAGATAAACCTATCAGAATTACACCTGACTTCTCAATGAAAACCACAAAAACCAGGATGTGCTGCAGACACTAAGAGACCATGGATGCAAACCCAGACTACTATAGCCAGCAAAGCTTTCTTTCACCATCGATGGAGGAAACAAGATATTCCATGACAAAAACAGATTTAAACAATACATATCCACAAACCCAGCCTTACAGAAAATACTAGAAAGAAAACCTCAGCCCAAGGAACCCAACTACTCCCACAATGTCACAGACATCTGACAACCCTCCACCAGCACAACTCAAAGAAGGGAAACACATAAACACTACCACCAAAAAAATAACTGGAGTTAACAATCTCTGGTCATTAATATCGCTTAATATCAATAGACTCAATTCACCTATGAAAAGGCACGGGTTAAGAGAATGGATACAAAAACAGGAACCAACACTCTGCTGTTTACAAGAAACACACCTCAACCTCAAAGACAGACACCACCTCAGAGTAAAGGGTTGGGAAAAGGTTTTCCAAGCAAATGGACCTAAGAAACAAATGGGTGTGGCTATCCTAATATATAACAAAATTGACTTCAAACTAAAATCAATCAGAAGAGATGGAGAAGGACACTTTATACTCATAACAGGAACAATTCATCAAGATGAAGTCTCAATCCTGAATATCTATGCCCCTAATATAAAAGCACCCACATATGTAAAAGAAACATTACTAGAACTCAAGGCACACATCAAACCACACACACTAATAGTAGGAGATTTCAACACTCTTCTCTCACCAATGGACAGGTCAACCAGACAGAAATTTAACAGAGAAATAAGAGAACTAACAGATGTAATGAATCAAATGGACTTAATAGACATTTATAGAACATTCCACCCAAATAGGAAAGAATATACCTTCTTCTCAGCATCTCATGGAACCTCATCGAAAATTGATCACATACTTGGTAAGAAAGCAAACATCCATAGATACAAAAAAAAATTGGAGTAACCACCTGAGTAAAGTTAGAATTCAACAACAATTCCACCCCCAGAAATCCTACAAACTCATGGAAACTGAAGAGTCAACTACTGAACCACCCCGGGTCAAGGGAGAAATAAAGAAAGAAATGAAAGTCTTCCTTGAATTCAATGAAAATGAAGACACGACATACACAAACCTATGGGACAGTATGAAAGCAGTGCTAAGAGGAAAGTTCATAGCACTAAGTGTCCACATAAAGAAAATGGACAAAGCTCACATTAGAGACTTAACAGCACACCTGAAAGCTCTAGAAGAAAAAGAAGCAGACTCACCCAGGAGGAGTAGAAGACTGGAAATCATCAAACTGAGGGCTGAAATCAGCAAAATAGAAACACAGAAAACAATCCAAAGAATCAATGAAATAAAGAGCTGGTTCTTTGAGAAAATCAACAAGATTGACAAACCCCTATCCAAACTAATTAAAAGGCAGAGAGAGAATAAGCAAATTAACAAGATCAGATGAAAAGGGGGACATAACCACAGAAACTGAGAAAATTCAGAGAATCATTAGGTCTTACTACAAAAGCCTGTAAGCAGCAAAATTGAAAAATGTAAAATAAATGGACATTTTTTTTAAAGATAAGTACCATATACCAAAGTTAAATCAAGACCAGGTGAACAATTTAAATAGACCTATAAGTCACGAGGAAATAGAAGCTGTCATCAAAAACCTCCCAACCAAAAACAGTCCAGGACCAGATCGTTTTTGTGCAGAATTATACCAGAACTACCAAGAAGAGCTAATATCAATACTCCTTTTTTTAGCGTTTTATATTTATTATTTATTTACTTAATTTTATTTTTTCCTTTTTTATTACTTAAAAAATACCAATCCAAATTCCCACTCCCTCCCCTCCTCCCAGTCCCCTCTCTCTCCCTCCACAGGCCCTCCTCCCTCCAACCCTAAGGGAGTGCCATGCGCTCTGCCCTGTGGAAAGTCCAAGGCCATCCCTACTACATCTAGGTTGAGCAAGGTTTACATCCAAAGAGAATAGGATCCCTTGAAGCTGGTATATGCATATAGAGACACATCCCAGTGTTACTATCAGTGGCCCCTCAGTTTACCCCGGCTATTAACCCCCTTCAGAGGGGCTTGGTTGTTCCCATGCTGGTTCACTCCCAGTCCAGTTGGAGTTAGTGAGCTACCATTAACTCAAGCAAACTGTCTCAGTGGATGACTCACCCCTTCATGATCTTGAATTCCTTGCTCATACTCTCACTCCCTCCACTCTTCAACTGGATCTTAGGAGCTCAGTCTAGTGCTCTGATGTGGGTTGTTGCCTCTGTTCCCATCTGTTGTTGGACGAAGGTTCTATGGTGATATTTAAGATCAGTCTGACTACAGGGTAAGGTCAGTTCAGACACCCTCTCCTCTATTGCTTAGGGTCTCAGCTGGGTTCATCCCTGTGGGTTCTTGGGCATTTTTCTAGGGCCAGTTTTTTTTGCTAACTCCACACACACACACACACACACACACACACACACACACACACACACAC